TTAACTTATTGAACTCAATTAGCATAATAATTGTAACCTTACTCCTAATTAACTTACCTAATGAACTTAATTAATTTAATTCGCATAATTAATTGTAACCTTAGCCTTAACCTGATTAATTTACCTAATGTGCTTAATTAACATAAATAATTGTAATTACTTATAAAAGATGAAGTCTAAAATGGGAATTGTAGTATTTTTCTTTATTAGTTACTATTTTACAATATGGTATTAATTTTTATTCTGGCTCTTGCGTTTCTTCATTATTGTCCAGGGTTTTTATTGAATCAATATGGTAAGGTACTAACTGGCAGTAAATTGCCTTATCAGGTATCTAAGAATCTAAGGGTTGGTCTGTAATTCCACCATGCATGTTCTTCCCCTCTGCGCATGGCCTAGAGCTATCACAAACTGTCTAGGTTAATGACAATATCAATGAAGGGACCGAGTATAGGGTCATTTTATATACCACAACATTGATAAATTAATTTTCTGTTATTTAACAATACATTTCTTTTAATTACCTTCATTTATACATATATAATTTAATTAATAATGTTTTTAATTTTCTATTATTTATCTAGAATTTTTATTTAAATTTAACTCTTATTTATTAAATAATTCTGTTATTGAATTTATTATAATAATTTTCAAAAATTCAACAGAAAATCTATTGAAAATTAATTAAATTTCTTTAATTTAACAGTAAACTAGACTTCACTCCCCATCCCCAATCAGGGATTCTTATTAATTCCTATCCTCGTCTTTACCCCACCAATTGGCAATCTCCATCTCCAATCCCATCAGGTTAGGGTGTCCAGAAACCTATGGAGGTTGGAGAAAATTGCTATCCTTTGCCACAACCAGCAAGAGACCTTACCAACCAGCTACTTGGCACCTTGTAGAATAAATAATATGATGATTATAATTTTTTTGATCCCTTCGTCAAGAGTTTGAATATCAAATTTTCCCATGCATAGCATAGGGGCCCGCTTGTAACAAATCAAGTCTAACAAAACTTGGATCCAAACCCTAACCTAATTCAAGAAAAAAAATACCAAGAATAAATTGACTTGCAGCCCTATTTCTAGATAAATTGACTTGTTTTATCATTTTAATCTTTAATTAACTCAATCAAATAAAAGATCAAACCAAAAATACCAAAATAAAATACAAAGAAGTAAGGACAAGCCCAATACAGATTTATAAATCCCACTACAGATCTATAAACATTCAAAATGTCAAATACCCACATTTTATGCATCAAAAACTGCTTAACACCTACCCCAACAGTACTTTGGCCCTACAAATTCTAACCTGGGCTGATCCATCATTCTCCCAATAAAATATGTATGTATAGCTTCCCCACGCTCCGCATGGATCATTTACTAGATAAAGATAAATATTCGAGCTTTTTTCAAACTGATTTGGACAGCTCCCATTTTATATTCACACGTTTTTTTCTCTCTTGCCCACAGACAATTATTATATATATATGTTGGAGGATGACCAACACATATAGACATCTCCAACCAGTTGTTACAACGTAGAAAGGATAGAATTGACTATGAAAATTAGATTAATATTTTTGTTAATTTATTAAAAACCCTCATTCTCATATCTTTAAACAAAGTGTCAAGTTTACCCCCACAACCACAATTAACCAGGAAGAATGCTTTTACTTTTCACAAAGCTTTTAAAATAATTTATATTGAACCTCTCCAGCCTTGAGACTCATTTTAAGGCGCAAGGTGCCAAAAATAGGGTAACAAACCGGATTGGATTGAATCAGATATTCTTAGGTCCAAATTTGATTTGTTAATATTCTGATCAAGTGGAATCTTATGATCTTCAAATCCAATTTGGACTATAATTAGACATTATATAGTAYTAATAAATTAAATTAATAATTATCAAAACATTATATTCTATTAATAGTGAATTAAAAATGACTTATGAATTGAAAACAAATTGGATGAAACTTAAACCCGTGTTTTTTAGTAAAAATAAGACATTAAACCAATTTAACTAGTAGAAATAACATAATTAGTTTCAAACTTATATAAGCATATATATATATTTAAATTGAAGAAACTCTCATTGGATTGGATTTAATAGGGGAGGATCCATGTATTATCTAATTTTATACAAACAGATTGCATTCGGAGCACCCTTAAATAGACTAGGGGTGTTCACGGGTTRGGTTGGGTYGGTTTTTTGGGATTTTCCCAACCGATCCGACCTGGTCGGGTTAGCTAAGGTGGGAACCGAAACCGACCCACTGACAGGTCAAACCGACCTGGTCAGTTTGAGTCGGGTTGGG